TAGGGTTACTATGTGATCTATATGGGTTATAGGGGTTATAAACCTAATGTTGGACCCGCTTTCATATCTACTCCCCCCCAAACAATTTTGGGGACCCTGAATTGAAATTGCTTGAGGGGTCTCAGCTGAATCCTAATGGTATTGGTATAAGTATTTGTATTCGTAGTCGTCGTAGTCGTCGTAGTAGTAGTAGTAGTAGTAGCAGCAGCAGCAGCAGTAGCAGCAGTATTAGTATTAGTATTAGTAGTAGTATTAGTATTAGTATCGGTATTAGTATTAGTATTTGTATTTGTACAAGAATTAGTATCAGTATGAGTATTGAGTATTAGTACTAGTATTTGTACAAGTATTAGTATCAGTATTAGTATTTGTATTGGTATTAGTAGTAGTACTGGCCGTAATTCAGCAGCACCCCCCAGGACGGTTGGACATTAAAGAGGGTACCCAAACATTTCCACTATAGAGNNCTTGGGAAAATGTTTAAGGCTAGGCAAACCACGTAATTGAGCTAAACTGGCTCTCTGGATTGGGAGCCTTGAGATTTTTGAAATCTAGGTACCCTTAAGCTAACCTCTGGGCTGCTCAGGGCTTCAAAGCAAATAGTAAGGTTTTAGGAAGTAGGGCGCGCTAAACTCTAACTTATCTGATGAAGAAGCAAAACGATTCAAAACATGTTTTATTTTTTCAAACCTAAAGAAAATGTTACTTTGGCCCCCGAAACTTGACATTAAAGAGTGTCCCTAAAACATATCCCAGATCCTGAATAAGCCCCGAATACTTGACATTAAACAGGGTCCCCATGCATAAGAGAGTCCAACATCACTGACTAAGCCCACCTGACCCTCCAAGTAGTGGATTAGGATTAAGGTCTAGGATTTAGAGTTTAGGGTTTAGGGTTTCCTCTGAAGGTTGCTCGTATATAGGGCTTATGGAGGCTTGTATTAGGCTTTAGGATGTTAAGTCAATGTACCGCGTTGCTGGTGAATTGGGGTTCACTCAAGGTATGAGTTAATTACCATAATGAGTTACTCTAATGGTTTTGGGGGTGAAGTTAACCCTAAACCCTAAACCCTACCATACCGACTCAGGGTTGGAGGCTTGTGGTTCAAGTGGCCAATGGAAACTGGGGCTACATAGGATGTTAGGGAACTCAGATTAAGGTGTTTAAAAAGTGGATGCCCTAAACCGGAAATCCTATACTCTGAACCCGAACCGGTTGCCGTGCTTATGGTATCCTAAATTGAAGATCCTGAGCAGCAACCCAGTGCAGCTGTTCATAGTTTCACGGTCGAGGCTTTGGGGTTTGGGGCGGGGTCTAGGATTAAGGGTTTGGGGTTTTAGTGTTGAAAAGCTTAGGGTGTAGAGTTTGGGGCAGACGGTATGTACAGGCAGAATTCTTGGGTTCGATCGCATGATACTATGAGGCAATGTGGCAGTTGCAGAGAAAGAGGTCGAAGCTATGGTATGATCGCAGCGGGCAGCTCTGGCGCTGTCTAAAACTAGGAGAACCCCCCGAAGAACGAAGACAGAAATCTATTGTTGGATGATTATGAGAAATTTTGTTAGTCGTGATAGCATCAGGCTTTCCCGGTACGTGGTGCGAACCCCTAAGTCCTAACCGCATCACCTCTTAGTTAAACCTCGCTGTAGGACCACTGTTGGATGCTGACATCTCTGAACCACGAGCATTAGTGTCATGACCTTTTGATGCCAAAGCTTCACTGGCTTCTAGTCCCCTCACTACCCAAAATGAGCCCACCGAAGGCTATCGAGCCGCGGCGTTGCTTTCCGACTCGGCGTTGGGGATCTTCCCGGAGCATGCGCAAGGTCCTCTTCTCACAGGTGCTGGCAGAAATCGGGCATGGCGGTTCTCTTCAGCTAGGTCATTTGGGGTGTAGAAATGGCCCTGGCAAAAGGCGTGACCCCTAAAACACACACGCCTGCCCCCCAACCTTCCCCTCACTGGCCCAAAGACACCAAAGAATGCAAATGGGCGTGCTAGGTGTTTAACAGCCCAAGCCCTGAACCCAGTAGACCCCAGACCTCCCAGCCAAAAATCCCTAGACCCCAGAACTGCAAACTAATCAACACGTAGGCCTACACCTGAAAATCCCAAGCCAAACAGCCCAACAATGAAGTAATAGTTCTAGGAGGAGTACTGAGTAGTCAAGATAATAGTAACCTCAGTAAGAATAAGACGTAAAGATACTTGTTAGTCTAATTGCCGTAAGAAAATGGATGGTGATATTAGGTCTACTACTTATGATAGTTTGGGTACTGCCCCCCCTCAGTAACAGTTGGATAATAAATACAATATGGTTATACATAGCCTTTAATAGGACCCCTAATATAGACTGTTACTGGGTGGGGGCAGTATCCAGCCTAAACCCTAAACCCTAAACCCCTAAACCCCTAAACCCTAAACCCCTAAACCCTAAAAAGTAACTGACCTGAAGGATTCGGTTTCTGCAAGACTGGGCTCCTGGATGGACTTTCCAGTCTGCAGAGCCGCTGTCAATCGCAACAGCTCACCATACAGGACTTTCCGAACAGTAGGGTTTAGGGTTTAGGGGTTTAGGGTTTAGGGTTTAGGGTTTAGGGTTTAGGGTAGGGAGAAGGGTTCCCTAAACTCCAGCCCTCAACTCCAAAAACCCGAAACTCTAGCTTTAGAAGTTCTCCATGTGCAAAAGCTGAGGCTGATTCCTCGCACCAGAGATACTCTTACTGGCGCTTGGTAGGAAACGAGTGGGGGTAAAATTACCATGGCATGATTTCGGCAGTTCTCTTGATACTTCATGATTTGGCCAGGACGTCTTTAACCAGCTGGCTGCAGATCACCCGCATGTGGCGTTGGCTGCCATTTCAAGCCAGCAGGATACCATGCAGCAACTTGGCATCAGGGTATACAGCAGAGCTTGACGGTTTTCACGCTTCTCTACGACATAGACTTCACCAAGGATTATACAAGGGTCTTTGCCTTCCTTTTCTGAGTTACAAGATACCTGCAGCCCAAAGATCTGCTTTAAAGATACAACCTACCCTTGGAGCTGTTCTGGTGCCTAGGATCCGATTTTACAACGCAATTTGCATGGCAAACATGATGACAGAGCGTGCAAGTGGAGCTGACTGGCAGTCAAAGCTCATGGTTACCCTGGAGCCTTTGCTAACTTCACTTCGCGGCGTTCGTAGGGTTCAGGGGTTCAGGTTTTAGGATTTAGGGGTTATGTAGGGATTATATTCCCTACATCGCCCTTACTAGCCCCCAGTAGTCATGGTTACCCTGGAGTCTTTGCGGCTTGAGGACTGATCCACTGTAAGTGGTTCTATTTCATTTTCCCATTTGGCTCATCATATTTAGGACTATCGCTTATACAAGCTGATATTATATATATACTACTTGGTACGATAAGGAGGCTGAGAGCTAAACGTTTGGGCTTAGTGTTTAGTGTTTAGGGCTTAGAGTTTAGGGCCCTAAACCCGAAACCCTAAACTTCAGGTTGTAGGGTCCTACCGGCAGCTAAGGAATCGTACAACAAGCATCCAAATTTCGTCCGACCCTCAGGCCTCATGTGAGCCATGGTCTAAATTCCTTAAAATGGGGTTATATAGGGACTACCATAGGGGTTATGCAGGGGGATACGAGGAGTTTAGACTATAGCTCATGTTCTGGGTCAGCCGCTCCATGACACTGATACAGTAAGAGGATTTTGAAGAACTAATATTCCCTCAATAGTTGACTACTGCCTTCCCGAACACTTTCCAAATGTTTGTGTATGTATTCTATACGAATCCTACAGCCCTAAACCCTGGACCCTCAAACCGCTAGACTAACGGCTGACAGAGAGGAAGATGTGTCCAGCCGCTGGTCTGAGGTGGCTTACTTGATATCTGGCGACGCCAACTACTTCCTACCGGTCAAGGTCGCCGGACTTTAAAGAGACCCCTCACGGGATAATTTGATGAGAGGGCCCCATATGAGCTGTAGTCTAAACTCCGAGTATCCCCCTCAAGGTCCCGTATATCATCCCCTATATGACCACTCTATACGGAGTTTAGATTATAGCTCATATAACAAGCGGGGTTTTAGTGGACCCCTGGGAGCCATAGACCTGAAAGGCTCTAGGGCTGTCCTGCAGGATTTAGGGCTTTGGGTACTTGACAGGTGTTGAATTATGGGTTTGCCTGAGGTGGGACCCCCACCCAGTAGCAGCGGCAGAATAGGAATATAAGAGGGCCCTAACATAACCACCCTTATCCCTTATAGTCACTGTTACAGGGTGGGAATCCACTTGAGTTTACCCCTATATGGCGCCCTCTTTGGGACCCCTTCATGGGTTGAGCTAGCAGGTACATGTCTTCTTGATCCTTCAAAGGGGCCCCCTGTAACTCTGTAACGTCGCGTACTTGCTACATATCCCGCATAGGTTTTCGCAATACTTGCTTGGAAGATCAGGTGGACGTAGGAAGTAGTTTAACCATAGGGATAAGTGGAGTTATTACATCACTCATACGGTTAAGAGGTACACTTACTACAGCTTGCTAGTCCCGCCTGACCCTCTAAGTAAGAGGGTCAAATCTCTTTCCGCACAGAGGGATAAGGCCCTCAACTGCCTTAAGTCTTAAATCCTGAACCCCCCAGAGACAACTCCAAGTCGCCCAACAAGATGCCGAATCTCTGAGTGATCGGTACGGCTCTAAAACCCTAACTCTGAGATCCCGAGGTCTAATCCGTAAACTCGAATCTCAAACAACGAAGTTACCGGGGTTGGTAGGGAACAAGGGAATATATTCCGTATTTAAGATCTTCACTACTCTCCCTAAACCCTAAATCTATAATGTATTCCCTTATTCCGCGCTAAGCCCCCAGCAAGTAAAACCGGAAGCCCTAAACCCTCAACCCTAAACCCTATACAACCCATTATAGTAGTTTCCATTTTCTTTGTCGTTATCCCCATATAACCCCAATGTACTAAACTATTTCCCTAAACCCCAAACCCTAGGAATTCTTCACAACAGACCTGGCCGGCAAGATGCCTTCACCTTCCTCGGGCCTTCCTCTTGCCACGTGGCTAGAAGGTCTTCCAGAGTCTCGGCTCATTGGTCATACGGTTTAGGGTACTTCTTCTTGAGCCAGCACCCGCACGTGGATACATGAAGATCATTGAAGATCCTTACTGGAGAAGTTCTGTTGGGTTTGTAGGCCGTACGGAAGGGAAGGGTTTCTGCAGTGCCCAGGTTGAGAGGAAGTACTGGCATTCATTGCCGTACTCGTCAGCTGCAAAACCGTTTACCTCGCAGGAGGACGTTCCCCATTAATCATTGTGAGAAAAGCGTAGTCTAGCATTCGTGGTCGCAGTCTGTTGTAGCTGCACCTTAAAGCTTCACAAGGCAATCTTCATAGCCAAAACCATGGAATTATGAAGCCGGCAGGGGCATTGTCACTGAGTTCGGGCAAGAAAACATGGTACCCACGATCTTCGGACTTCGTATTCCCTCAGATGGCTTTTTTGGAGGGCTCCTCGTAGCGGTGATCCCCTCTCTATTAAAAAAATCCCCGCACAGCTTTTATACACTTCCTACATACCATTGAGGGTCCCTCCCAAGCCCTTAGGCTCTAGATTCTAGACCCTAAACCCTGAACCCTAAACCTCTAGACCCTAAACCCAGACTCATAGTTTCAGAGTTAGGTCTTGGCCGGGCAAAGCATCTCTGGCCAGTGCAAGGTGTCTTGGTAGACCTTGGGAGTCATTCGTTTGGGATTTAGGGTTTCGGTTTTGGGGGTTAGGTTACCTGTACTTGGTAGGGAAGCAGGATAGAGCAATAGTAATGGCTATGTACGATTTGGGGTTTAAAGAACAGGTTGACATTTGTTCTCTGTTAGGTGGCCTAGACTACGAGGAAGAAGCAAGACCTAGACCCAGAACCCCCTACCATACCCCTAGTGCCCTAGTGCTTTGTAGGGAATGTGGACTTTGATTATTGAGCAGTTGGTGGGGGGTTATATAATATAGCAACTACTACTTTGGCTTTTACGTTCTGGTTGTAGTGGCTGTGGTGGTGGGTGGCGGCGGCGGCGGTTGCCGGTTGCGGCGCCAGCGATTACGGCGGCGGCAGGGTGGTGACCGGGGTGGCGGCGGCGGCGTAGTTGGGGTGGGGGCGGGTGGTGGAATGGTAGTAGTACTAGAATGGCACGTAGCAATAATTCCGTTTCACCGGGAGCGGTAGTGTCTTACAACTGCAGGGCTGCAGCAATTGAGAAGGACAATCCTACCAACCTTTTACAATCCAGTTCAAGAACACTGCAGGATTGTGGGCCCCTTCTCAGCATCAAGAGATTTACGGCTCCTGCGGCTTCAACGACCAGACTTCGGCAACCACAGCATGAGGCATCCAAAGCTGAGGATCTCCCGCAGGACTTGACCTAGAGTTTTGGCTTTAGGGTTTAGGGCTGTCTGGGGCCAAGGTTTAGGGGATCCCAACATCTGCCTGATAGGGAGATTTCTCAGGATTATGGGTCCGGAGGTTCCAAGAACGAGAATCGTAATGTGTTGTGGGGGGGTGTCGGATGAATTGCTTTGCCTCCCTAACCTTTACAATCCCCCAATTTACATGCAATCCCAAGAACAACCTTGCTGTACTTTCCTTTGAAATCTGGTTTGCAAGGCCTTTAACATTCGATTGGAGGAAGGTGTACCATGTGAGCAGGAACGCGCCAGCCCAGATCAGCTGCCGAGCATCCGTGTTGAACCTCCCTCTCTGCAGCCTCCCTGGTGGTGACTGGGTCAGCGCTTGGGAAGGCTACGTTCTTGATAGTATCACGCCTTGTCCAAACCAACTTACTTCTGTTAGATATGATATATTGTAGTACACTATAGTATAATTTGGTATATTGTAGGACGCTGTAATATATTATAGTAGATGATAGTATATTATAGTACATTATAGTGTACTATAGTACATTATAGTATATTGTAATATGTTTTAGTATATTATGTAGTTTTAATAGTTGATGTAGTTACTACTACAAACCCAGACCCCTGTACGGCTCCCTCACTCTGTGATCCAGGTCAAACTTGTACTACGCCACTTTGCTGCTCACTGCCGGAGCTCTATCTTTAGGCCGCCTGCCATTTTCGCTGTTAGGCTACACTTCCAGGTTTTGGATTTAGGTGTATTGGGTTTAGGTATTGCAGGATCTCGGGTTCAGGGGTTGAGTTCAAGGCTTTGGGGTGTCAAGGTTTTAGTCGGTGAAATGACAATCGTCTCAAATCACCATGTGCAGGTGCCGTGCAAGAGTGGCGTGGTGGTCGCACCCCCGGCATGTATCTTGTGTTTTTCTTGGAGTTCAGAGTTCCCCTTTACACCCAGACTTTCCTATAAAAGCACCGAAGGAGGCGCAAGGCTTTGACACCATTCCCTTTGCTCAGCTTTGACTGGGTTGCTGTTCAAGAACTGAATTTGAGTTACTATTTGGGGGAACCCTAGTAATAACTATATATACCCATTCTGGTTACTTAATTTAAGTTCTCTAACAACAACCCAATTCTGCTCAGCTTCGACTTTGTCAGACGGTTGGCAGTTGCGACTTCAGGCTCCGCCGGCTGCCAGAGCGACTCCCCAATGAATCACAATCCAGACGAGGCAGTTTAGGGTTTTGGGACTTAATTTGATTAAGGTTCAGGGTCAAGGTTCAGGATTCAGGGATGAGGGTTGAAGGTTGAGGGTTTGGGGTTTCTGGTTGGGTGTTCAGGGCGCAGGCTTCGCCAGGAGCGCTTTACTTCTAGGGGTGCCATTTCCCAAAAGCTTTTTCCACCCCACATCGCCCTGAATTTTGTTGTATGAGTAAGCCCTAGAAAAGGCAGCCCTTGGCTTCGGTTCAGCCCCTTACGAAAGCTGTCCTCGCAGGTATATCCCAAGGTTTGCTACAGGGCTTAGTAGAGGCTGCTGCCCCTAGGGTCGCTAGTCCTTCCCTGAAACCCTCAGCCCCAGGCAAGAATGGAACCCAGAATTTTGGGCTTCGATACTACGCGAAATGACGACATAACCTTGAAGCAGGCGTTCCACAGCGTCCATGTAAACTTCCTCAAGCCCATCTTCCTGGAAGGTGACTTCTGCCGTGGCCTATGCTCCTGCAGGAGGCAAGGTAACGCGTAGGGGTTATTAGTGGGCAGGATTTTGGGGGGAAGTTTAGGGCTTGGTGGTTTGAGGGAGTTTAATTGGGGCTTCCTTCACAGGCAGACAGAGGTTGCATAAGGCATGAATTCAAGGTGGAGGCAAAAGCAGAGGCAATCGAGCTGCTGCTGTTAACTGCTAGTATGATGATCAGTGAGTATCCTTTGACTACTACTACTACTACTACTAGTAGTAGTAGTAGTTGTAGTAGTAGTTGTAGTAGTAGCAGCAGCAGCAGCAAGTAGTAGTGGAAGAATAAGTAGTAGCAGCAGCAATAGCGGTAGCGGTAGCCGTAACGGCAGCAGTAGCGGTCGCAGTAGCAGTGGCAGTAGCAGCAGTAGCAGTACAAGTACCATCAGCATGTGCAGGCATTCCTTGGCGGACTCCGTTGGCAATGTCTGGCCGCCGATGACGAAAAAGTCTGCTGTGCCTGCAGAGGGTTGTTGAGCCTAACTAATTGCCACTGCCACGGGTATTACTTCATTCACGCCACACTTTGTGTGTCTTGCGCTCAGGGGACGATAGTATGTAATTCCATTTGGGATGACTTGGCCATGGCTACAACTTAATCATCATTGGAGACGCAGTGTCGCATGGCATTTGCAGGCGCAAGAAGGTGGCGGATGGGACAACAAGCCCGTTCTGGAAGCCGTGAACTTACTACATGCACCCGATTTCTCCTGGAAACCCAATGTGGTCCTGCAAAAGCTGGGCTGCATGGTATTCCACGTTCATTTGGGGGAGGGTGCACGAATCACGTGCGGACACGTTTTAAGATGATCAGGCTTGTTACTTGCACCGACTGCTCACAGACACGCCTGCGCAAGGCAGCACCGCACTCTTCGAAGGCGAGCGCGACACCCTTGACTGCCTGGTGGATAGAGAAATGAAGGTAATACTGCAGGGATCACGCCTCAGATAGCTGGCTTTGACCGGTGCAAGTCTGCAGTAGCTCAAAATACTCCCCTTCCCCCCATGCAAGCCCAAGGACCCCACATGCGAGCTCGAAACCCTCCTACGTGCCAATCCACTCTGCAGGTGTCAAAGTACATCACTCCATCACAGATGGTGGTGGTGAGCACCAAGGCCTTCTTGAAGTTACCGGGTTTAGGGTTAGGTAATGAAGCTAAAAAAACTTTGATGTATTCAGGCTGCTCAAGGGAGCAGTTAGCAATAGGGGGAAGGGCTTTGTAGTATGAGAGGGAAGGTACTGTTGCGGTGGTCTAGAGATATTCAATTTCCTTATGATGACTCCGAGAAATCCCCGAGGGAAGCCCTCAAACCTCCTAAACCCTAAACGCCCAAATCCCAAACCCCTAAGCCTAAACCCTCAACCCTCACAATCCCTCTATGAGGCATGACTGCTTTTCATGTTTTGGTTTTGAGCATTGTATATGGGGTTTCCCAACATTGGGGATACCTTTTTAGAGATCCCTATATTTTGGGGTCAGAGTGGGGTCCCCTCATTTATCACACTACCACAACATGGGCCTCCTTCGGAATTGGTGAGTTCGTGATTGGGGTGTCCATTTGGCGTTTCAATAGCTCTGCATCTCACTCTGGAGTCTCTGGGATCCACGAGAGTCTCAACTGACTGAACCTAATCCCTTTACCCATTCCACTCTTTGCAAAGCCTGAGCAGATTGTCCAGCGTTGCGCGTGTATTGTCGAGAAGCCCCGCATGTCTACGTACCACGAAATCTCCCTGGTGCTTAGCACGGGATGGGGGAATGGAGTGCAGGGAGTCTTTTTGGACAAGGAGTGCGGTCGGAAGGCGTGGCCAGACCGACCCGGTTTTTTGCCTGCGCCACCTGCGCCACCTGCGCCACCTGCGCCGGCTCCGCGTTGCCACGCGCCAGCTGCACCGCCTGCGCCACCCGCGCCAGCTGCCC